AATATTTAAAAGTATCTAAAATATTAGTAATATTAGACAGGTAAAATTTAGATTAAAAAAAAAATCTAAATAGATAATGAATTTATAGTAGTAATTAGACTTTTATTTATTTATCTTTAAAGTTGTTACGATAGATGAGAGATGTGATTTTTTTTTTTTTATGGAATTTTGTAAGCTGTGTTATGAAATTTTCTTAAACTCGTCCATATTTATGCAATGATTTTTTTGAGCTGGGTATATAGATTTAAAATTGTAAAAAAAAAACTTTCATAAATCATTTGATTTGGTATTTTCTGAGAGCTTCATTAATTTAAAAGTGCAAAATAAATAAATAAAAAAAGTACAATTGAAAAAGTTACAACCAATTGTATGGAGAATTAAACTAAATCTAATTTTGTAGGCGGTAATGCTCCGCTACTCACAGTGGGCATATACTGATATGTCCACCGTTTATGTGGCATGCACACATTGGTCATGTATTTTTTTGAACATATTAACATCACCAATGGGTGCATGCTACATAAGCGGTGGACATATTAACATGTGCCCACCGTGGGTAGGGGAGCATTATCGATTTTGTAGGATGCATTAAATATTAATTAGATTTTATATGTAAAATAAAATAAAAAATAACTGGAATAATTTTACGTGTTGTAATATTTTATATTTAAAAAAATTAAAAAATCTTCTTTTCCGTGTTGCATACCAACATTTTAGGAACTACATGGATATTCCTAAATTAATATTGCATACCTAATATTTTAGGAACTAATTAAATGCTATTTTGATTTGCATACCCAAAATATTAGATGCATTAATTAAATACTTGATAAAAATAGTTATTCATTAATTAAGTTTGACTTTTTTAACTACTATATTTAATAAATATGATCTCTTTAATATACGTATAGAGAGAAATGCTCCCCTACCCACGGTGGACACATGTTAATATACCCACCGCGTAGGTGACATGCACTAATTGGTGATGTTAATATGTTTTAAAAAATACATCACCAATAAGTGCATGCCACCTACGCGGTGGGCATATTAACATGTGCCTACCGTGGGTAGGTGAACATTTCTCTACGTATAGATTACCAATTATTTCTATTGATTTTTTTGAAATCAAATACCAAAAATAATTGAAAGAATCCATATAAATATGAATTCTTTTCAAAAAATTAAAAAAGTGTTGTATCGAGATAATTATGGGCGTTAAAACTTTATTAAATATGCTATTTTTAATATGTACTTAATAATTTTGGCGAGAAATTGTTTCTAAATTTGTAAAAAGATTATTCTTTTTATATAATGACGATTATGCTATTGTTAATGTATAATTAATGATTTTGGCGAGAAATTATTAGTAATCTTTAAAAAGGTTATTTTTTTATATAGTGATATAGATGCGCTAGTGCCTAGTGCTTAACCTTTTTTTTAAAAAAAAAAATAAATAAATAAATAAATCACTGAACCAAAACCCTACAAATCGTTATCCATTTTATAATTTTTAATAATTTATTTTTGTGAGCATTAGATTAGCCTGCTTTTCGGCATCCATACCATATACGAGAGTACAACATCCTTAGGCCTCTGAGCCTCTCAAGGAATGAAATCCCAAGAGATCCTTTTGCTTTATTTTGTTTCATGATTTGTTTAATTCCCTTTTTTATATTATTAGATTATATAAGATAAATATTAACACTTTCCATGTATGATTAGGACTATGGCTGCAAACGAGTCGAGTGACTCACGACCTGTTTGCGAGTGCTTGAATCAAAGTTCGACTCGAGCTCGGTTTCCAGTCTATAATTTACATTGTCGAGCGACTCGATATATATTAAATTACTAAAATACCTCTTATACATATATTTAAATAGTATAACGCAAGTGTTTAATGGTAATTTCACTTAAAATTTTTTTAGCCGAACTCGAGCTATTGTATTTCATATCGAGTCGAGCTCGAGCCTCATAACTCGAGCTCGAGCAGCTAAAAAAAATTCAAATCCTACTCGACAAGATCTCGACTCGGCTCATTTGCAGCCCTAGTTAGGGTTTCAATTATAATGTTTTAAGTGTTTAGAAAAAACACTATAGATCAATTAAAATTAAATTAATTCTCACAAAAATTATTTTATCATGCTTAGACAATGTTAATTTAATTTGGGAGAATATTGATATTGTTCGGTCAAATCCACAAACATTTGCGTGATTCTTATCTACTTTGCAAAATTGCTCAGTTAAAAAACATTAACTTATTTAAACATAGCAGTTTTGCTATGGAGCCATCGGATGACTCGGCTTATGGAGCCATCCACAGTTATTCACAAATAGGGTATTGACACGTGTTCTACAATAAATGCACTTTGGACAAGTGTCAATACACTAAGTCATGGATGACTCCATAAGAAAACCATCCGATGGCTCCATAGAATTTCTGTTAAACATAGTTTGTTTAATAATAATGATAAAATACACAAATAGCATCATATAATTGAAATTGGTATATGATTTAATAAATGATGGGAGTTATTATAATCTACTACCATAAATCGAGACCCTACATATTAAATCATAATAATTATTATATTGGTGATTCTTGATATCCTTAGAGATTCCGTTACCTTTCAATAATTTTATTATGCGTTTTGATATTAATAGTTAAGTAATCTTTTTGTTGAGCAAGTAAATCACATTATTTATTATTTCCTAGCTTATTTTTTTTTTTAAAAATAAATAAATTATTTAAAGGTAAAATTACATTTTAAGTCCTGTTGGTTTAATGCCATATCATTTTTCGTTCCAAGATTTTAAATTTTTGCTTTTTGATCATGTAATTTAGTATTTTGCTGCAATTTCACTCTTGTTGCAATTTCAATTATTTGAGGACTGAAATTGCAACAAAATTTAAAATTACAGGATTTAAGTTGTTAATAAAAAATTCGTCCTGTTATTTAAAGTTTTGTTGTAAATTTACTCTTTTAATGACTGAAATTACGTTGAATTTTAAAATCATAAGACAAAAAAAAAAATTGTTCAAATCTTAGGACAAAACGCTATTGAATCAAATCAACACGACTAAAATTGTAATTTTAACTTATTCTAGCAATAAAATCGAGTACAAAAGTGTAATTTATTATTTCATTTCCTTTTTCCTTTTTTTTTTTTGGCTTTAATATTTTTCGAAATATTTGGATTGTAACGCAAATGAAGTCATATGTATGACAAGTGTGTATGGACTGTGGTGTGAATAAAAGTGTGCACAAAGCCACGACTCAACTCCATACTCTTTCTGGTCTCTCTCTCTACAGTGCGTAACTCTCTCTCTCTCTCACTCTCTTTCTCTCTCTAAAAATCCCCTTTACATTTCGTCTCTCGGGATTTTTACTGTGTGCGCCTCCATTTTTAGGGTTTCTTGGGTCTGTTTCACGCTTCCCGCTTCGATTTTCTTTTCACAGTAGTGTGGGTTTCGTTTTGTTTCGTCACTCAAGTTCTTGTTTCGCGAATTAATTCCTCTATTTTGGTTTTTTTTTTCACCTTAAAATTCGCAAGTATTTTGTTTAATGTTCAATTTTCCTTTACATTTTGCAGATGTCGTGATCTCTCGATGACCTTATTTTTCTAAATTTTTTTTCGGTTTTTTTTTTTTTTACAGCCTTTTGTGACTGCTGTTTGGGGTTTCAAGGTAATGAGAAGAGGGTTTGGTCAAAGTTTACCTTTTTACTCTGATTATCTTACCCTGCTTTGTATCTTTTCAGAGTTCCGTTCATAGTTTCCCTATTTGCTTGTTTGTTTATTTTATATATATATTTTTTTTATTTTTGGGTTTTTTTTTGTTTTGTTTTGATATCAGTATGCATGGTTGTTTCCTAGTAAGATCTGTAAAAATATTTCGGATCTAATGTTGCTTGTAATAATTCTTGTATATTTGAGACTACTGTCATGATATAATAAATATTTCTTCAATTTTTTACCTTTTCATTTTGTTCTAATAAATGTTTTTCTCTGTGCCTGTGTCAGCTGAAGGGTTTGCCTTTCATTTTCCTTTTATGTTATTCCATGTAAACTTTATAAAAAAATGGGTTATTGTTATTTTTATTATTTTACACGAGAAGTACTTTATTTTATAAATTTTCTTTTGTTGGCTTTTTGTATTTTAGATATTTTTTTTATTTTTTATTTTTTTTTTTCACTCAAGAAAGTTAATGCTTACTGCTTGAGTTGGAATGTTGGACTGTGTGTCTGTGTTCTGTATGTATCTCTTATGATTGCTATCTGTTGTCATAATCTGTTTTTCCTCAAGATTGTGTTATCTAGCAATATGTCATGTTTGTTTGATTACCATCATAATCTGTTCTCACATGTAAATTTGTTTTCTTGGTATTTTCCATTGGCCTGAATTAGAAGATGTGTGTGTTGTTGATATGTTTGATAATTAACTTGTGATTGTTACTCTTTTTGGTTATGGTTATTAGGTGTGTGTCTATTGGATCTAGGAATGAGTAAAAAGAAATTATATTAATTTATTTACTTAGATTTTTCCTCCTATAGTAATAAATGATTTGTTAAGTTGATTTCTGATGGATGCTTTTAACTTTCTGACATGCATTTGAGTATTGTTGAGCTATTTACTGCAGTATTTCACAAGCCTTTCTGTCTGGGAATCATTTTGTTGTGTAAAAGGTTTTTGTCATGCACAGATTTGGTGACAGGATTAATGACTAGTAGCATTATGTTATGAAGATATTGTTGCATTTGATTTTCAGACTAAAGTAACTACTCTGCTATATTTCATTTCTAAACGATCTGCTTCCTCAATCTTCCTTGCTACTATGGGGATGGCCTTTTAATGAAGTTTATGTTTTTCTTTCTTTTGTGGATTCTGGTAGCTATTTTTATAGAATTTTAAAATTTCAGAAACTTTCTCATGTATTTCGTGTTACACTGCCTATGAATCCTTCATTTAATGTATTTCAGGTTTTACTTGAAGAGATTGCAGAATGGACCCTAATGAACAAGAGGGCAATGGGGCTACAGCAGCTATGGAAGAGCTCCCACCTCCGCCACCCATCCCGGCAAATGTTACTCCCATAAAAGTTGATAATGAACCAGAAGTGAAAAAGGTCTTGCGGGTCCCAATGGCCCGTCGTGGATTTGGGACCAAGGGAAACAAGGTCCCGATCCTCACAAATCATTTCAGGGTTAATGTGAAAAACCTTGAAGGGCATTTCTTCCATTACAGTGTATGTGGCAGAGACCTTCATCTTTTGTTTTTCAACCTGTGTTTCATTTTCTTGATTGTGTTCACAATATTACAAAGGGTTTTCACTAGTTTTTATAAACTACCCATCAACCACATTTTCTTTGAAGTTCTTCCTTCCGTGGGGATTATTTGAGGTCAATATGAAAGTAAAAACTATTGAGGATTTTTCTTTTGTAGTCACATCTCAGAAAGGCTATTTTTTTTTGTAAATATTCTGACTAATTGTATCATATTGTTTGATTTTATTATTCTGTAGGTGGCTCTTTACTATGAAGATGGCCGCCCTGTAGATGGAAAGGGTGTAGGTAGGAAAGTTCTTGATCGTGTTCATGAGACTTATGACACGGAGTTGGATGGCAAACACTTTGCCTATGATGGTGAGAAAAGTTTATTCACCGTGGGCCCGCTACCACGAAACAAGCTTGAATTTACCATTGTTCTTGACACTGTGACATCTAGTAGGTATGTATGATGTTTGAGGTTTGCAGCCTTCTCATTTACTTATGCTGCATATTCACTTTAACTGAGTTGAATCAAATTGTAGCCATTACTATTTTATAATTGCTTTCGTACTTCTTTTAATTATAATGGATTATATGATAAAACTATTGTGCACTGTTACTTACTATAAACCTTGGTCTTGGGGGAGCAATGAAAATATTAGTGACAGTGAAATATAGTGTAGAAAATATTGTGCAAGTATTATCTATGAACATGCATGAAAATTTCATTCCAGTGTACTGTTTGGCTCGACTTGTCACGGAATTATTTTGGACCCATTACTTCTGGTTCATTTGTCTCCTCATACTGGTGCATTGGTTTTATTCAGGAACAATGGAAATTCCAGCCCTGGAGGACATGAAAGTCAAAATGAGAGCGACAAGAAAAGGATAAGGCGCCCTTATCAGTCTAAAACATTCAAAGTGGAAATCAGTTATGCAGCCAAGATCCCTATGCAGGCCATTGCAAATGCTTTGCGCGGCCAAGAAACTGAAAATTCTATGGAGGCTTTGCGGGTTTTGGATATCATCTTACGGCAGCATGCGGCCAAGCAGTAAGTAACGCATTGCCTATGGAATATTTGGCTCAGTTTTTATCAGGGCTGTTATGGCTTCTGAGATACTTTGTTTTTTTTTGTTGAATTTATTAGGTATGCAATTTTACTAAAATCTCCCTATAAAATTTTCATTTGTTAATGCATTTTCTTCTCATCCTTAGTATTAGTAACACTTCAAATTCATCATAGATTTTCCTGCAGAAGTTTTCATTATTGATGGAAAAGAAGTCAAAACAATAGAGGCCTAATAATTCTTAATTTCAGAGGTTGCTTGCTTGTTCGTCAATCCTTTTTCCACAATGACCCAAAAAATTTTGCTGATGTTGGTGGTGGAGTGCTTGGTTGTCGAGGTTTTCACTCAAGCTTCAGGACTACCCAGGGTGGCTTATCCCTAAACATTGGTAATGGTTTTGCTTTGTTTATCTTTATTAGCCTTTCATTTTTGTTAATGTTCATTGTAACTGGAGGATAAATTTTGTCCACTTTCAGATGTATCCACAACTATGATAATCCAGCCTGGGCCTGTAGCTGATTTTCTCGTTAATAATCAGAATGTGAAAGATCCCTTCTCTGTTGACTGGGCAAAGGTTTGAAAACAGCTGTTTAACTTTTTTTTTTTTTGAATGAGCAGTGAATGTCCTCT